AATTGTTAAAGTAAAAAAATTATTAGGATTTTTTGTAATACTCAATTATTCAGATTTTTTATTCATAACACATTAGTTAATTCATAATTAGTAGGTTCGTCATTTTCTGTAATCGGTAGTTTTATGGTGTTCTTCACCTATTATGACCTATAGAGCGTTTGGGCTCCGACATTTAAAGTTTTTGAAAAAGAAGAGATACGAGCGGGAGAAGACAGATAGTACTGGAAGAGAATGAAGAGAGCATCAGTCGTAAGAGGTTGCAAGAGAGTCCAGGCTTAGTTATCACCATTTCGTCTAAACGATTAAGCCGGGTGAACGTGATAAGTATCCAACCAATGTATTTGTGTCTACGTAACCCCGCCTTTGTGACTGTGATGCTTTTGACCCAAGTTTTACCCACTGATCAAAGATACCTTAGCGTCATCGTGGTGACTTGTCAGTGAACTATTTTTCTGATCACCATTGGATCTTGAGCGAACGGTGCAACCTCAACCAACAACCTAATTGCTATTTGCTGGCTGAACCCGTCCACCCAAATCATCATCTATTGTTATTATTTATCTGCCTGGCTAGCAATTTAAAATGTTCTTTAATGACATCCGAGGGCTAGTAAACAATATCGCAGAAGTATAAGCTTGGAGATGGATACTCCTGACAGTACCGGGCTCTTCAACCAGTGACGTCATCGAGACGCAATATGCGCGTCATATGGATACGCCTTCTTAAGATAGTTGTCCGTGGCAGTTGTCAAGCTCTGTTGTCAAGCTTAAAGTTACAATATAATTTAACGGCTTAGTTTACCAGTACAAAGATGACTGGTGTAAATTAAGAATAACTTGCGTTTTTGCCAAGTTTTTTCCATTAAAATATTAATTTCATATTCTTTCATTGTGCACCTCATATTACTGGCCAATTTATCAACGCAATGTACAGTAGACGTTCGATCGCAGTCAGCACATGTTAGTGGTTCCCCGCTACAGCATTCATGTGCAAATATTCCTGCCTATTATTTGAACATGTAATTTAAAAGTAAAATTTTTATACTGTTTTAAGCGTCTACAGATGGCTATGGGCTTAATAACTTCCAAGTAAGTTTATGGAAGATTATTCGTATATTATTCGTCGCAATCAACCCGTGTAAAGTAAAAATGCTTTTATATTTTCTAACGTAACAACGGCGCTTCCAATAAACGGCAGAGATAAACTATGCTAGTGAATTTCAATCAAATTGCTTCGCTTTCTTCATGTTTTCCCTATGACAGACACAGCTATAAGCTTCAAATGAGTCATCAATTCATCATGTTAATTTTTTATCTCATTACATGAATTTAGAAAGCTAATTTCTCAGTGAAAGCTTCATAGTTCCCTAAATTTGTTATAACGTGTACATAACTTTTAACTTCAGGACACAATTAACATGATATTTAATAAAGGAAGATTATACATACTGGAAGGAAACGTACTAAAGATGGCATTCGTTCTTCATTGATATATCAGCCTAAAAACAGCTCGGTAACAGTGCCGGGTTCTACTATTGCCGAGTTCAACTTTAAGTTTAATAGATAGAGCCATGAATTTGGGAAAAAATGCACTCCACTCAACTTGATAATTTATTATTTAACGTTAACGAATATTCTTGCACACTCACTGTACATGGAGGTAAAATATTTCTCATCCAAGGTGGTATAGTAAAACAAAAATGGGCCTGCAATGGATTCTGATGCAGTCCTTCGAAGCAGCTAAGGAGAATAAATTATTATAATAAGCCAAATTATAAGAACAGAATTTTCTGGCTCAAAAGAGTAAGCTTGATTTGGCTTGCAGCGTGACATTTCTGTTCCACACCATCTGACTGAATGCTAAAAATAATGCGACTTAGTGTGAAATTTTACCCTTTTTTCTCCGAGTTTCGGGACATGTTGTCTAGTAATAGTCAATTCATGACACATATGCAAATCAGATGAACGTTTCTTTCTGTCTATCTAGCTAAAAAAACAGCAATAAAACACAATTTTCCCAAAACAGCAGTTGTAACGTCTGATTTTGCAAAACTAAATAAAAAATATGATGATACGTCACACTATAACCTTTGTAAAGCGGTAACCGCATAAATCTGGTGAAGTAGCGTCGCGAGCACTGCAGTGGTGAGCACAGAAATCGAGTTTCTCAAGAAGCAGAATTGGGGAGGTGATGCAATACCTACAAAAAAATCTTCATGGGCTGTGAGATCACTGCAAAATTAGTGTAAACATATTTTTTCTTGTGTTTTTTAGAAAACAAATTTACACAGGCGCGATAATAATAATAGAACCTCCTACTTGAGATATTGAGACAAACAAAACCTGCAATATTATAATACAATATATTGGCATCCTGAGGTCAACACTGTAAAGTTCACAATGACTATACAAACGTACGTAAGGAGACACTTATCTTCTCTACATTCATGTTGTTGATCTCGCATTTCTTAAGTTATCTTACTTCGATGTTGGTTCAGTTGCACCTTACAGAGCCTAAGTCTTTTCTTCTGATACAATAAAAATGAGGACTCATAATCTTTAAACGCTAGACGCCTCCGAACATGAGTTATGAAAATTCGAAATCTCAATATTTTTGAAGTTTGGATGGAAACTATTTCCATTTGTCTGTCTTCTTATCAATTCAGAATTTTGATTAAACTTGCAGGTGTCGAGTTAATGAGGTGAATGAACACAAATTTGAGCAATGATCGAATAATTGTTTTAATTTAACCACTTTAGACTATAGTGGGATCGATTGAAATTAGTGTTACGATTGCAAAATTACGATATATTAGCAAGTTATAATCAGTTCCTTATAATATTTTCATGTTTCGCATTAGCGTTATAAGTTTATTCGCCTCAACTTTGACGCAACTCCAACTTTCTCTGTTTCATATATACAGTCTTCCGCAAACATCAAAATCATTAAATGCTTCTAATAAATTTGCATTTATTCCCCTCTAAGAATAAACTTACGCCTTATAGCGCCGAAATCTTGTACCTGTTCGGCATATTTTTGATGTAAATGCTCGACACAACTAACGTACGTAAACAAAACCGCGACTCTTAACTCCATAATCGTCCTCGAAAATAATCGTCCTCGAACTTGAGGGACAGGCTTTGCATCCACCCAACCGCTGAAGTTACATCCACCCAACCGCTGAACTTACATCCACCAAACCACTGAACTCGCATCCACCCAACCGCTGAACTTACATCAACCGAACAACTGAACTTGCATCCACCCAACCACTGAACTTGCATCCACCGAACCTCTCAACTTGCATCCACCGAACCTCTCAACTTGCATCCACCCAACCACTGAACTTGCATCCACCACTGAAATTGCAACCCCCCAAGCACTGAACTTGCATCCACCCCAACCACTGAAATTGCAACCCCCCAAGCACTGAACTTGCATCCACCCCAACCACGTAATCACTTCGATTCATCCACACAAAGGAATCCCAAACTGGACTAAATTGCCCTCAGGATAAAGACTAGGAAACTCTTTGGTGTTTTAGTTCATCTATGACGAGGTATGTTGTCACAATATTTATCGTAGCCATTAAGATGAGTGAAAAGGTTTTGCAATTTCAGGCTCACGCGGACCGCACAGTTTCAGCCATCGAAGTGTCCGCAATCATTGCTGCCAGTGATGATAGTTAATTATAACCGCAGCTTGCAAGTTCGTGACCAGTGACGATAGTTGTAATTGTACATATAGTTGATTACTATTGGTAGTGTGGAGCTCACGATTAACAACCGTTGACAGAATTCTGAGGTAGCTATATTGGTTGCTACAATACCCGTGACTTATTATAATAATTTTATTCACTATGAAATTCGAATGGGATTTATCGATGATTGAAGGCCTTATCTAAACAATGCTCATTCATCTTATCATAATTTGATTTAGGTCCCCACTTCATTGGCAGCAGAGCATCCCTTAGACCCGAGCTCTACTGCCCGCGCTGCCCTCGGTGTGAATTTAAACGTCGAACGTACCCGTCGCTCTATCTTGGCCTGGTTATATTGTTCGTTCTGACCACCGCGGTCTGTGAAACTCCTTGTTGCCAATCAATCCAAAGTTTCGTATCATTTTACAACGAATTGGTTGTAAATCTCCCCAAAAGCGAACAGAGAAAACCTCGTGATTTTACAACGAATTCTATTTAACGTTAGTTAATCTTCACCCAAAAACGAACAGAGCAATTCAATTATATACTTATCGAATTAGCAATAATTGTTTTCCGATTCTGTGCAAATTATAAATTTCAAAATCAGAAAACGCTTTCGCCAGTTTGGTGGTCAGACGTCATCCTCTTGACAGGCCGGTCCAACAATGGGCGCTGTCTGCTGCCGCAAGCGCCGCCTTTTTAGCGCATTTTCTCATTTATGTAAAAAATGCACTATTGTGCTCGCCATGTCCGTCTGTCTGTCTGTCTGTCCGTCCGTCTGTCTGCGTCGACGAGAAAATGCGCTCTCTGTCACTCACTGCAGTGAGTACTGAGTTATATTTTTTTCCCCTTCAGCGTGAAATACGAACGTCGTCCCGTATCCTTGTAATGCAGGTGCAGATAATTCGTGTTGTTTGCTGCAGTTCCCATGCGGACCTCAACAGCGACTCTGCAGCAACAGCAGCATCAGCGATGGCGCTACGCCTGCCCGAAGCAAAGACATTAATTTCACTGCAGTGAGTACTGAGTTATATTTTTTTCCCCTTCAGCGTGAAATACGAACGTCGTCCCGTATCCTTGTAATGCAGGTGCAGATAATTCGTATATTGTGCTCGCCATGTCCGTCTGTCTGTCTGTCTGTCTGTCCGTCCGTCTGTCCGTCCGTCCGTGACCTCAAGTTTTCGTCGACGAGAAAATGCGCTCTCTGACACTCACTGCAGTGAGTACTGAGTTATATTTTTTTCCATTAGCCTGAAATACGCACGTCGTCCCGTATCCTCGTAATGCAGGTGCAGTTAATTCGTGTTTGCTGCAGCTCCCATGCCGACCTCAACAGCGACTCTGCAGCAACAGCAGCATCAGCGATGGCGCTACGCCTGCCCGAAGCAAAGACATTAATTTCACGCAAGTTACAAAATTGAAATTATGTCTCTGAGGCCTGATCGAATAGAATTATTGATGTTTTAGAGCATTATTCGAATAGTGATTTTTTAATATTACAAGTCATGTGATATTATATAATTTTATAATTATTCGCCATCCAACAGTAGTTTTTCTCATTCATTTTATTTCTAACTATGCAGAGACCTATTCTAAACCGTAACAAACCTATGGACTTGACAGCGGAAGCCCCAGAATTGAAGATATTGAAGAAATTTCCTGCTTCCTCCCCAACCCCCCCACCTCGACCTCTCCCATCCTCCATGATCCCCTCATCGAAAGGAAGTCCATCCCCATAACCCCTGTCAGTGTAGCTGGGGTCAAACTCGACGTTTCTGTAGCTGGGGTTGTAGAGGACGCTGTTGTTGCTGTGTCTGTTGGGGCTGTAGCGGCTTGGGGAGTGCAAGTCGTGGTAGGGATCACTCCCCGCCGACAGCTGGTGAGGGGGAGGCTTCTTGGCAATTTTGTGTGATCCTTGTGAGGAATGGAAAAGGCAAGTAAGAGGTAAAGATAAGTGGGAAAAGAAAAATATTTTAAGGAACAAATTATCAAATTGAACTAGCGTATAATGATATTATAATATACATATAAGTGACTGGTTAGTGGCCATTAATTCATCGCTTCCAAAACTGAAATCAAAAGATAAAAATTTTCGATCAACTTGCTCTTAATTAGAGCAAAAGGTGCCAAGTAGGCACCTCTAATTTCCAAAATGTGTCCTAATTTTGCTAATATTTCTCCGTGGAAGCAAAGCTTCATAGCATTTGGGTTGAATGCATAGAAGCAATCAGAAGCCTGTTGGAACAATTTTCAACGCCCGCGCGTTGAATGCATCAAACAGAAGACTGTTGTGGCAACTATTTTCAACGCTCTCGCGTTGGATGCATAGAGACAAACAGAGACCTGTTGTAACAAATATATTCAACGCATTGAGAAAAAATTTAGTTCCCATTAACAGGTCAAGTGTATTTATATTTACTACATTTCCAATAAAACCCACAAATGGAGTGAAAAGAATTATTAGAGCGACATGAAGTAATTAATCATATTCATACTCAACAAGAAGTACTGCATTTAAATGAAGGACCTCACCGCTGGATGATACGGTTTTAGAACCAGTAATGATTATTTTGGTGCACGGTAATGAAAAACAAAGTCAGTTCTATAATCTTATGAACAGTGATATTTAAAACTTCATTTCAAGTTAAACTAAACTAAGGATTGTCACTGCATTCATTAAAAGACTATCGGCAATCACCTTTGAAGATTTTGTCGAGAAAGAAGGGCGGGCTCGTCGGCACTGGTGTTGGAGGTTGCGATTCTGAAGAAAAATACAACAAAGTAAACTGTAGATTTCCAGTGACATTTTCAGTCATACATTGTAAATATTTAGACGCAATACATTGTAATTAGTCACAAGACTTAAGGAATATTTTCACTTCAAACTCAGCACTAAATTCATAAGTGTTTTATTTGCCTAAACCAGTAATTACATATATGAAAAATAAATTTCACTTACTTACAATTTAATTTGAAAGTTTGCCTCGCATGTTTTTGCTCTACGGCTAATGAATGCGTGAAAATAGCAGGCTAGGATAATCAATGAGGCATGTAATTCCTGCCGCTTCATTACCATTCCTAATGAAACATTCCAAGTCACGGCAAAACGCGCCTGGAATTCAACGACAGACGAGACGTCGACTGAAGTGCGCGTCTGAAATCAGCGTCTCGTGAACGCGGCACTCTGAGTAAACAATTAGAAACGTCGTCTGCTGCGATGGCAACCGAGTTCTAAATACCAGGCCTTGCCATGCTGCTGCGCGATTTCGTGCTTCCAGGGAATCAGAGATGACTTTAGAACTGCAGGAAGAATTACTAGGAATATAAGTTTGTTTGCCATAATTTGTTCGCACCAAACGTAGGAGTTGGAATGAAATAATTAGATCCACATTAATGTTTCGATTTCTGATGCATTCATTAGCCCTTCTTTAGGCAATGGCATTAATTTGATGAAAAACTAAAACGAATTACTCCATAGTACTTGTACGCTTCGTGCTGCAATTATTGTACCAAACCTCACTCCATCATGAACGTTTGACCGCTGCAGCCGTCCAGGCAGAATAAGCAAGCTTATGTGCTGAACATAGTCGCTGAGAAATAAAACTTAATTTAGAACTTCAATGCTTACAACATGTCGAATTACTATGCAAGCTGATTATTTTGAAATAAATAGATGTTCTCTTGATTAAGTAACCACTGGGAGCAATAAATAATACGGGGTTGTGATCCGTTAGCCGCCGTGTGCATACGGCCTCGCGACCGTGAACGTTAGTTGCCGTGTAGGCCGACGTCGCAATCAGCAAGGAAAGGCCGTGTGGGTTTTTCGTCGTCCGTGTGACCCGAATAAGAAGAAGGATGAGATCGCAGCCGCACTTCTTGACGCTAGCAAAAACTTCCGCTCCTGCCTCTTCATTGGCTGATGAAGTAACCTTCGATTCTTATCTGAATTTTTTGCTTAAATCCGCAGGATAGAACAAGACATCTTTGAGCCTTTCGTTTTTCATTTTTCCTGACTGAACCACATCTTCCTCTTATTATTCCTAGACGCAACGGCAAGAGATAAAAACATTTTCGCGCGATGTCAAGACTATTTATCATAAAAAAAAATCTGAACCAATAACGTTGATGTTGAATCATCATTTAAGAACCCATTATTTATTTAATATAATACTTCATAACATATCACGAACTCGGAGTCAAATAAGTTTTCAATAATAGATAGGTAGGTATTATTTGTCGCGAAAAGCAAAATCAAAACTACCTTGACGTTTTACAAAAAAATCTCATGAATGGGATATCTTCTTATTGTAGCCTACGTCTGAATTTTGTTATGTGGTCGTAATGCTTTTCGTTCCTGTCTAATAATGATCGCTGCGATCATCGAGATAATTGAATATTGGATCGTAAACTCGACGTTCATTATTGATTTGGATTATTTTGCTTAAAGTGAATTTTACCAGTTCTGTCTAATGAAGATATTGTTTAGGACCAAACATTCAACAACATTCTACAGTCCATGTCTATCAAAAAATTATCAGTGAGGAATGATCTTCAGATAAAGTGTAGGTATGCCGCTTTGACCCGACAAGACTCACTGTAGAGCTTCATTTCGCCCTCCGTTTCGCCACGGGAGTTCTTGGCCACACATTTGTACGAGCCAAAGTCTTCTTCTTGCAGGTCCTTGACCGTGAGCTTCATGTGAGTGCGGTACGGCTCCGTCCCAGGCTGCAAAGTAAGGCTTCATTTGAGTGTGGTACGGCTCCGTCCCAGGCTGCAAAGTAAGGCGTCATGTGAGTGCGGTACGGCTCCGTCCCAGGCTGCAAAGTAAGGCGTCATGTGAGTGCGGCACGGTTCCGTCCCAGGCTGCAAAGTTGGGCGTCATGTTAGTGCCTTACGGCTCTGTCTCAGGCTACAAAGTAAGGCGTCATGTGAGTGCCTTACGGCTCCGTTCCAGGCTGCAAAGTAAGGCGTTATGTGAGTGCCTTATACGGCTTCGTCTCAGGCTGCAAAGGAAGGCATCATGTGAGTGCCTTAGGCTCCGTACCAAGAGACATGGTAAACATTACCTAAATTATCGCACGCAAAACTCCCATTCAATGCGGTAAAGCTTCAAAATGACGTTGAAAACTTTGCAGTGAACGGTCTCTATTTTTGTAAGTATGTGAAAATTATCGTTCAATGGTTTCTTATTCCATTTATCCTACTCCTCGTTGCGCTCTAGACATTGCTCACCTACGCAAACAGTATCAGCGATGTGAAAGGATCGACCATCCACCAGAGGGAATTGATCGCTCGCAAGAGGGATATTAATCACCCCAGTGTGGTGTACAGATCACCCTCGTGAGGGGTACAGATCACCCCCGTGAGGGGTGTAGACCACCTGTGAGAGGGTTAGATCACCTCCGTGAGAGGTACAGATCACCCCCGTGAGGGATATAGATCCCCCCCCGTGAGGGGTAATAGATCACCCCCGTGAGGGGTATAGATCACCCCTTGAAGGTAAATAGATCACCCTCGTAAGGGGTATAGATCACCCCCGTGAGGGGTATAGATCACCCCAGTTAGGGGTAATAGATCACCCCCGTGAGGGGTTATAGATCACCCCCGTGAGGGGTTATAGATCACCCCCGTGATGGGTAATAGACCACCCCCGTGAAGGTATAGATCACCCCCGTGAGGGGACAGATTACCCTCGTGAGGGGTAATAGATCACCCTCGTGAGGGTACAGATCACCTTCGTGAGGGGTAATAGATCACCCCCGAGGGTATAGATCACCCTCGTGAGGGGTGTAGATCACCCCCGTGAGGGGCATAGATCACCCTCGTGAGGGGTAATAGATCCTTCTCGTGAGGGTTAATAGATCACCCTCGTGAGGGGTTATAAATCACCCCCGTGAGAGGTACACATCACCCCCGTTAGGGTTACAGATCACCCCGTGAGGGGTACGGATCACACACTTACGGAGTATAAATGACCCCTTGTATGGTATGAATCACCCCCGTGAAGGGTTCAGATCACCCATGTTGAGGGTATATATCACCCGCACTGGACACCCACAGTCTCGGAGATGAAGAACTTGTCGCTGTGGTGGATCATGGCCCCAGGCCCGCGGGTCCAGTAAGTCAGGGCTTGGGGATGAGCCTCAATTGTGCACTCCAGCGTGAAGCTGAACCCCAAGGGGGCGCCCACTAGCTGGTGGGGGATGTTCATCATGGGGGGGACTGTGGGAGGAAGTTTGTATACATTTATAATTGTTAGTGAAAGAAAATTGTGATGCTGGTTCCACATCCTCCTCAATTGTGGACGGTAAAAGACAGAACTAAAAAATTGTGATGCCTGTCATGAATTATATATGATTATTTAACTAGAGTTTAGACTCAAATACTTATAAGATCGTGCCTATATTAGGAGTAGTAAGGTTGTACTTACATAATAACTGGTAAATTCTTGCTAAGAACTAAATGAGAACTGGTAAAGTTCTCACAGTCGACGCTGACTTTATACTTATAAGATCGCGCCTATATATTAGGACTATTAAGGTCTTGCCTACATAACATATGGTAAGGTCTTGCTAAGAACTGTATAATAACTGGTAAAGTTCTTACAGTCGACGCTGACTTTGATCCTTTTGCTGACAATGGGTGGGACGCCGTTCCTGGCAATGCAGAGGTACGCAGCCATGTCCGTTCTGCTCACTCTGCTCAGCCGCAGCTCTGAACCCGAGAACTCAGCCACTGTTCAATCGAGGTTCAGAGTCGTAAAGCTAAGAAGTGGTGGTCAGTCATACAAACAGTGGAATGTTTAGGCTTATATTACATTTATATTAGAATAGAATAGAAATGTCGGCACTGAAGAAATAGGCCCATGGCCTGTTGCCGATTCTTGAATTTTTCGTGACTTGATTCACAAGGGATCCTNTGCGTGCGGTTGACGCTGCTGCCCCCACCTGAGTGCGTGCGGTTGACGCTGATGCGCTTGCCGTCCTCTCGACGCCACAGGATGTCAGGCGGTGGGTGTCCAGTAGCAGCGCAAGACATGGTCACGTTGGCGCCTTCCTGCACCATTACGTCGCCTGACGAGTCGCTGTCGACGATGTGGGGCGGCACTGCGGTAGAAGTAACGTCAGGCTCGGCTGTGCGCTACACTTCCATATCTCACCCATAATGATGTTCATTTCCGCGAAAGGTAGCGTACGGTTACGTGTCCAATTGTCGAAGTTATTTCATTCATCTTATTAATCGTCTAATATGACCTGTTACAACATAAACTGTAAAGAATTAACCTCTTTTAACATATACTGTAACGAATTACCTGTTACAATATTAACAGTAAAGAGTATTTCACCTGTTGTAACATGATGTGTTACAAATTGACCATTTGTAACATGATCTGCTACGAATTGACCTGTTGTAACATGATCTGCTACGAATTGACCTGTTGTAACATGATCTGCTACGAATTGACCTGTTGTAACATGATCTGCTACGAATCGACCTGTTGTAACATGATCTGTAACGAACTGACCTGTTGTAACACTGTCTCTTATACACATCTAGATGTGTATAAGAGACAGACGATATCCTGCACATGACGTACGTCATGTGCAGGATATTGTACGGCATGTGCAGGATATCGTACCTGTCTCTTATACACATCTAGATGTGTATAAGAGACAGTACTAGCACAATCTGATACTAGCACAATCTGATACTAGCACTATCTGATACTAGAACAATCTGATACTAGCACAATCTGATACTAGCACAATCTGATGATAGCACAAAATGATATTAGCACAATCTGATGTTTGCGCAATCTGATAATAGCACAATATGATATTTGCACAATCTCATAATAGCACAATATGATATTTGCACAATCTCATAATAGCACAATATGATATTTGCACAATCTCATAATAGCACAATATGATATTTGCACAATCTTAGCTTAGTACAATATGATAATTGCACAATCTGATGGGAGCACAGTCCAAAAATTGCACTATCTGATAGCAGTACAATCTGATACTAGCAGTCAATATGTGCTCTAATCAATCTGCACTACAACACTACTTATAGCAGAATATAATGATATCATACTTTGACTGTAATATTCTCTAATGACAGCGCAATCTAATAATCACACCGTATGATTTTAGCAAAATCTGCTCGACGACATCTTCATTGCGTTTTCCCTCACTTCATTGCCCTTTTTTTATCCCGACTTCTGTTAGCCCTTATGTATGGCCGATGGCTGCAACAACCTAACGCAGTAGTTTAAATTGTATACCATTGTATTTCACTAGTGTACCGCTATTCTAAAGGGTATATCTTAAAAAAATTACGAGAGAAACGAGATTTTTAGCGATCGATGCGCATCCAGACCAAAAATGCAGTTTATTAACGCGACGTTCCTACTCCAATGTAGGGACTGCCATTTTTGTAGTTAATTCAGTATATCAGAGTGATACGCTCGCCAGCACATTGAGGCAGAAGCCTGATGACAGCCGGGCTCATGCCTGCTCCTGCACTGTCATGCTGCTCGGTCTGAGCATGCTGATTAAGAGGCTCATGCTGCTCATGCTGCTCGGGCTGAGCATGCTGATTAAGAGGCTCATGCTGCTCATGCTGCTCGGGCTGAGCATGCTGATTAAGCAGCTCATGCTGCTCATGCTGCTCGGGCTGAGCATGCTGATTAAGCNACCTGTTGTAACATGATCTGCTACAAATTGACTGTTGTAACATGATCTGCTACAAATTGACCTGTTGTAACATGATCTGCTACAAATTGACTGTTGTAACATGATCTGCTACAAATTGACCTGTTGTAACATGATCTGCTACAAATTGACTGTTGTAACATGATCTGCTACAAATTGACCTGTTGTAACATGATCTGCTACAAATTGACTGTTGTAACATGATCTGCTACAAATTGACCTGTTGTAACATGATCTGCTACAAATTGACTGTTGTAACATGATCTGCTACAAATTGACCTGTTGTAACATGATCTGCTACAAATTGACCTGTTGTAACATGATCTGCTACAAATTGACTGTTGTAACATGATCTGCTACAAATTGACCTGTTGTAACATGGTCTGCTACAAATTGACCTGTTGTAACATGATCTGCTACAAATTGACTGTTGTAACATGATCTGCTACAAATTGACCTGTTGTAACAGCCACGAATTGACCTGTTGTGGCATGATCTGCTACAAATCAATCATAAACAGCATGATTTGTTACGGCTTGCTCCGTTGTCGCGCCCTGCACGGGTGTGACGTGAAGTTCTCTCATGATCTCCTTAGCTCGGACGGAACCGTATTCAGGAGCAGCGGTATCTGCTCGATCATTGATTAATCTGCCGTTGTTGCGAGCAGCGCATCGGCTGCGCTACTCGTAACCCTTTATACTCTCTCCGGGAATATTACTTTCAAGTTAAATTATACATAAACTATTGAGTGTATCAACCTGAGGACGTTTGTACGCAACAGAGAACATTTTAAAGTTGTACGTGGCGGCAACCATCAGTGCAAGTCTTTTTTCGCTCACTGGAACGTATCCTTTCTGGGAAGTAGGCTTGTGACAATATTGCTCCTACTCATGTCAGGCGGTAGAGGGTTAAACCTAGTTCATGACGTGTAGAGTTAGTACTTGTGCATGACATCCACTTGTCATGTAAACAACTCCAGCTAACAAGTTAATGATAAGTTATCACATGACAAGTTATCACATGACAAGTTATCACATGACAAGTTATCACATGACAAGTTATTACATGGCAAGTTATCACATGACAAGTTATTACATGGCAAGTTATCACATGACAAGTTATCACATGACAAGTTATCACATGACAAGTTATTACATGACAAGTTATCACATGACAAGTAATGACATGACAAGTTATGACATGACAAATTATGACATGACAAATTATGGCATGACAAGGTATGACATGACAAGTTATCACAAGTTATCACATGACAAGTTATCACATGACAAGTTATCACATGACAAGTCATCACATGACAAGTTATCACATGACAAGTTATCACATGACAAGTCATCACATGACAAGTCATCACATGACAAGTTATCACATGACCTGAGCCGACCTAAACCTATCAGGTTTTATTCCCCGTGATATCTGTCATTTCTCTCAGATATCTTGATTATATCTCGATTCTCAGATGTAAATTATCTTCAAATGTGTTATAATGTTAATGTGTCAAAACCTAGCTATGAAAAGGCCACATTTTAGTTCTATGCCTTCAAATCATTCAATTTCATTCAATTGTTTTTATTTCTAAGCTCATCTTTCTTCTCATAATAAAAAATCACCATTCACTTTCCTCCGATCTACTCATGAAATGTCTTCAAACTTGTTTCGTTTTAGTCACTCAAGGTTATGCGCTCTATGTCTGTTCACTAGGCTTTAACATCACCCTAATTTTCATTACGCAATCTCTTCTCTAAAAACTCTTCGAATCTCTTCGTCTATCTTCTCACTTTTCCCTCCCCATGTCGACTCTCCCTCTATCTCCACGAGCGGCAATAACCCAACCAGAGCGAGCGACACAGTCTCGTGGAGTAATATCGTCCCGCGATATCGATGAAGCAATCGCATATCGCCACGACATCTCGATAGACTGCGGTCGCCTACCTCGCCCATCTATACTATCAGGATAGAGAAGGATATTTGTGAGCTCTCCCGAGCATTCTTCTCGACACGATTGCCAGAAATTAGCTCATTTTCTTGCACATTTATTTGCTTGTATAAATTTATAAATTTCTACACGCTTGTTTCGAATAATTTGTAGATAATAAATTTAATTTAGCTGTAATGTATCCACGTAGAGCACTTTTTTGAACCCGTGACCAAATGAAAAGGATATCTTCTCAGTTCGCGATGTCGGCATTTTGTGGGGATTTCAAAGCTCTGAGAATAATTTTACGGCAACAATTATTGCAATTATTATCTATGAGAATAAACAATTGTATGGTGTAACACATAAGACTTATAAGCGTTTTAAGCGCGAAATATTTTAATATGAGACTGCTGTACAGCGAACTCCAAGAAACTCAACCTATGTTAACTGATATTCATCACCATCTGCTTCTGATGCATGAATTTTAATCAAGTGTGAGTCAAGGTTTATTTATAGTCTCATTTTAATTATCGGTAGGTATTTTAGGTGTTAGAATTTATTTGTGAGAGAAAAGGTTATTAGCTCATAAAGCCAAAGTCATTTAAGTGCTGGGTTATTAAGGCTGCATTTACGCGTGAGCCGAAGCAGTGAAGACAGCAATATTCTTCAGCCTAGCACCAACAATTAGCACTTGCTGCTTCAATGATCTATAAAGAGTGAGGGTAACAGCTGAGGAAGAAGTGCAGGCAAGGGGAAAGATGGTCTCAAATTTTCATGAATATAATGACTACAATGTTTGCACCGCTTCATGAAGGCTGTGAGAGGCCACATGGTTAAGACTCAAACTAGAACGCTTGATTAATTCGCGCTGGACTTCTTTAATTAATTAAGCTAACCAGAGATGTAGCTTTCATATGCAGTTCAACAGAATCTCCGCTATGTATTTATAGCTTGTAACTACATATATTTTTCCCTTATCATAATAAGCGCGAGGTGGATACTTCCTTGGTCTTCTGCAGACATTGAAGGCAATTAACTGCGGCTGAAAATGGGACCTCATTCAAGACCTCATTTAATACATTGCGCCTTTGTAATATTGTTCGACAAACGAATTTAAAACCTTCGGTCTCACTGCCCCGATGTTGCTTTGTTCAATGTCAGCCGCTACGTTGCAGGCAGTCCTTATCTCGTCAGTGCTGCAGGAAATACTTTATAATTCCTGCAACAACTTTCTTAACGAAGCCAGAAATGATACAGAGACGGCAGTGCAAGGCAGACCGAGAACGTTTTCATTGCGTACACAAGAGCCTCGTTCACTAGTTGGCTTGTGGCCTTTATATACGACATCAATTACAGTAAAAGTAAACGAGTGTTGGGCCTTTACGCTCTCGACGGTGCCAATAATAATTTCAGGGTCTTCCTGGACGGCCAACAAAGGAGGCTC